CCGCCTTCCCAAAGTAGGCCAAACAGCTCGATGGTCCCCCCCCCCCCCCTCGCTAGCGGCCAAAAACGGTTGAAAGGACAGAGATCGACTTCGGGATCGAGCAGCTCTCTCGATCACTTTCGGACATCGAGTCTTCAGCTCGATCTGTGTCTCGATCTTCTTCGATGGATCGAGTGTTGCATCCGATCTTGGTATCGATCTTCGGCGGATCAAGTGGTGGACTCGATCCGGCTCTCGCTCTGCATGGCGTCATTTACGTCCGTACTCCTTGATCGATTGCTTCACTCGATCTCCGTCTCGATCAATTCCCTTGGATTGGCTGGGCTACTCGATTTTTGGGTCGAGCTCATCTAGATCGACCGGCCATGCTCGAACCTCCTCTCGATCTCTGGTCCTTAGCAAGCATTCCAAAATTCTTCAAGTCCCACGAACTTCTTTACGAGCCTCAGTATGTCTACGAACCCTCCAAGACTCCAAAGTAGCCGAAAATAACCTGTATGCGATGCAAAATACAAGAAATATGCATATGCTTATGCGAGAACACTCTAGGACCTAAAGTGATGCAAACTATCCTAAAACGCAATGCATAAGCGTGAGAAACTAACTTATATGTATATAAAATACATGGAATATGCAGCTATATCAGCCTCCTTCCAGATATAGCTTCTCCCGGGTAGCATACTTGCGGTTATCCTGTATGGGTACGAAGTTCATATCGTCATGATCGTTTGTCAATTGATCTTCAGAAGACGTTCGGTTAGATTGGTGGTTTTCATTCGGATGATCCTGCGCAAATCTTCAAAGTTCGGCGAGTGCGATCCACGTGGCGAGCCTGTGGTGGTTCCAACCGCAGCATGTCACCTCCCGCAGCGTGCACCACTCCCCCGAGGACTGCCGATCATCTTATCTGCTATGGTCGGCTCCTTTTCTCTCTATTTGCATTAAATACACGTTACTTCCCACGCACGGTTCGAGAGACTGATAATCATTTCTTCATTGACTTTTAGCTTTTCCTGACCGACGCGATTCCTCCCGCGTACCTCTTCGGTTTCTTCTTCCTCTATAAAATCGGGAAACTCGCAGTTCCACATATTTATTCCATTTTCGGAGCAAATCTCATAACTTTCTTTCTTCGAACCGCTTCTTCTTTTTACTAGCACACACCTTTCTTTTCGTTCAATGCAAGAGGTCTGCCTCCAGTTCGTCGTCCGGCGCATGGCGCGTCCGTCGCTCCTGGGCCGATGGAGAAGTTCAAGACAAGGTCGGAATGTCTTCAGAGCCGGTTCCCACAGCCTTCCCTTAGGCTGAAGGTGAGGCCGAGAAAATCGCCGGGGTACCATCGGCATCCAATCCCATGGATCGCCCTCCTTCTACCTGTACGCCGGACTCTCTGGAGAGAGTTCTTTTTGCTAACCTCCCCTACTCCTCCGGGCTCAACCCTATCTTCCCAGGTGAGTGGGACCAGGCAGACCGGCCTCCACGGCGCTGCATCACAATTGATGATGACTATTTCCTATACGGCTTCCGAGGCAGCGTCCCTCGGATGGTGGTCGACTTCATCAGTTTATCGGCATCTGCCCAGTTAACTTCACCCTTCCGCCTGGGGGGGCTTCTCTGCGCTTTATATGTCCTCTCGGACTTGTCTGGGGTCCGGGTTCGTGGCTCCACGGTGCTGTTATCCTACCATCTCTGGAGCCTGACTGCCGATGCTCTCTGCTACCCCATGCATACCTGGGACAGGTGCACTGCTCTCATCCTGAGTGGCCGATCCGGGAGCCGCGATTGGAGGGAGCGATACATCTTCTGGACGGTATCGTCAGAAGTCAACGTCCAACTCACCTGGATGCTGAGGGGTAAGATTCTTCTACTACTGCTGTCCTTCTTTCCTTTGGGTTTGGTCTGTCGGCCATCTTCTTACTGCCGTTTTGTCTTCTCTTTTTTTAGGCTCCGGGACGCCAGCCTCTTCCGAGCGGGCCGACCTACACCGCTTGCTCGAGATTCCTAAGCGGTTTCGGTCGTTCCACTTCCTGCTCTCTCCGCCGAGCATCAGACCAAGCTCGCTCATCCTCCCGTTCGGCCTGACCCCGGACGTCTCAGGTAGTGATTCCGACTCTTCCGTCATCGGCTTTGCGTTGTCCCTTTGGTCTTTACCTGTGAATCCTGTCTTTGTAGGTTCTTGGAGTCGGATCAAGGGGATCTGGGAGGATTATGCCTATGACGGCCGTCTGCCCCCAGCGAGGTTTATGTGGGCCGCGTGGAGGACACCTGTTCAAACACCGTGCCGGAGGCCCTGAGCGGACTCTCCCGAGGGGGAAACCTCATCTCGACTGGCGCGCCGAGGGCGCTTGGTCAGATCTCCTGCGGTGAGATCTACGTGGTCGCCGAGACCCTCTTCGGCCCTCCCTGCTCACTACTCCTCCGAGTCAGCTTCAACTGCCGGTGATGGGGCTCCCGCAAATTCCGACGCTCCAGAATATCTGGGGACCGTCTTGAGATCCAGGGCCATACGACACGCTACTCCGGTCCCTGATGTCCCGGTCTCGCCGAAGACGATGAGTGTCTCTTCGGAGTAGGAGCCGATGTTTGTGTCTCCTCGTCCGACTGCCCGCTCGACCTGCGAGGTCACCAGCTGGCGGCTGATCGCCTTGGAGCTCTCCCAGTCGCTAGACACGGTAAACTAAGTTCTCTGGACGTCTTCTTTTGCGTTTTCAGTTCTTTACCTATTTCTTACTTGTGCTTTTTGTCTTTTGACAGAGTCAGCGCTCGCTCGAGAAGCTGGAGCACGAGCTTCACACGGCTGAACATCGCAAGCGCGGCCTTGCTGATAGGACTAGCGAGCTTCAGGCCGAGCTCTTGCTGACCCAGGATCAGCTCGCCGAGGCCCAGACTTCCGCCTGTGGAGAGGATCTCAGCGCGGAGATGGAGCGTCTAACCTTGGCGCTTGCCGACAACCAGCAGGATCTGGAGGCGCACAACTCAGAAGTGGAAATACTCCGCCAAACCCTCACGATTTACCGGGGGTTCACCCCGGGGGCTGAGGTGGACGTGGCGATGATGGCGGTTGAGGCTTTCTCGACGAGCCAGACCACAATTTGCATGCTGAGGCGGGAGCTCGAGGAAGAGTAGAGACGCGGCAGGTAGCGAGGGCTGGGCACTTCATGGGCAGACAGATGGAGACGGTAGAGGCGCGGGCCCTTCTTCGCCGGCGGGACCTTCGCGTCCGCCGAGTTTTTAAATTATTTCTGTTTCGGGGACTCGTTCCCCTTGTAACTTTTGAACTCAAACCGGCGGCCTCTTCAGACTGCCTTTTTTAAGTAACATTGCTTTATCTCATTTCGCTTAGCTTCGTCTTTGGCCTCTTTTACGTCTTATCTTGCATCGTGAATCTGGAGTCTCGGTTTTGGGGCCAATACGTGTATGGTCTCGAGCTCCCGAAATGGGTTAGCAAAACCGTAGCCTGCTCGGTCCGCGCACTCTGCAAAGCTGTCTTTGGACGCTTCGCTTCCTATGTGGAACGTTCGCCGGTGACCCGCGTTGCGGGTCTGGGTTCTCGGTTTCGAGGCCAATACGCGTAATAGTCTCGAGATCCCGAGACAATTGAGCAGAACCATAGCCTGCTCGACCCGCGTGCTTTGCGTAGTTATCTTTGAATACTTTGCTTCCTTCGTGGAATGTTCGCCGGTGATCCCCCCTCCTTCTAGCGCCAATTGTTCGGGAGAAAATTTCGGGATGCCACGTGGGGGGTCATGATTTATCGGGGATGGAGCCGGGTCTCCGAGTTTTGTCCTTTGGGGGAAAAGGCGGTGAATCGTCGTTTCGGGGCGAAAGCTTTCTATTACGAGGTGCGGGGCCTGCGTCGTATTCGATCCTGCAAGCACTTGAACAAACGTCAAGCGAGCCTTCGGGGAGGACTGATAGGGGGATTCTCTCCCGAAGGTTCTCTGACGCCCAAGTTAGTGAGCGCCCTATCGGGAACAGGTACTCGGGGGATAGTTTTCTATGGGTTAATCGTTAGGGGACTCATCCGAAGATCGGGACTCCTGTCTGGTTTAGAGTGTTTCAAGAGGGATTTCTGCTTGTGAAAAGAGAGATGCAGCGGATATAAAGGCGAGGTTCTAAGTCGGGGATAACTTAACCTGGTCGAAAATCTCTCGGGAGGGACGTGGAGTCCACCCGAGATCCTGCTGCATGGCCGGGAATATTGCCTCAGACGTCGGAAGGTGGATTTCTCCGATCGTCCTCCTCCCTCTCCTTGGAGAGTTCTTCTTCTATTTATACTCGCCATTCTCTCGTCCTGTCCTTTCCAAGCTGCGCACCCGGGGAGCAGGTGAGAGTAATCATTCTGGCGTGTTAGGGGAAGCCCACTAACTGCCCCGGTACAGTACGCGGGAGTGGGTCGGCCGAGCTAGCATGGCATGTGTCAGCATCCGATATAGCCTAGGCTTACGTGGCGAGCTCTTTTTTACTCGGTAAAATGGGTCCTAACAGTCGCAGAGGTGAGGAAGGAGGTGAGCGTAAATTTAGGAAGATATTATTGGGAGATCTTGGGATGACGAGATCGACGTGAACATATTTCCTCTTTATTATTAGGAAAGTTAACATTAATGTGTATATTACCTTATTATTAAATAAGTAGATTTCCTATATTAAATATGTAAAGAACTTGCTAAACAAGTTATAGAGTTTGTATAAATAAGCATATTGGCTAATTTATACTTAAAACTTATTTTCAGTGTAATTATAGAAATTGCCCTATTTCTTTTTAGTATTGAATATTATTTGACTTTCTTTTGTTGGGCTTATTTTTTTTTCGGGAAACATTAAATTATATTAACATAAGTAATAGATTACATAAGTTTGTTTACTTATACAAGAGTTCACAGCTAAATTATGAAGATTAGTTAACAAAGACTTGGAAATATAACAGAAAGTATGGCAATGACGCTCGGGAAAATTAACAATATCATGCACCTCCATAGTAATTGATTGTAGAGGAACTATAACATCTGTTTCTTCTTGCCCTTTACTAAATAGGAGATACAAACGAGGATTAGTTCCGCAGAAACCACTGTTGGATAATTAAGCTTGTTTACCTCTTGCATAGCCATTTTGAGAGCAATAACTTCAGCTGCGATGGGAGTTTGAACCGAACCAATAAAAGCAGACCCTTGCAAAATTGGTTTAGCCTCTTTAGTATATAACATCCAAGCTATACCAGATTCCTGAGTCGAGGATGTCCATGAGGTTGCCACAAAACAGCAATAAGCAAGTGCTCTATAACAAAGCTGAGGAAGCGAGAGTGCTTCAGGATAGCGCTTGGGAGTCTCCGATATGAATTGAGTATCAGTGTCAGTTACATGATTCCAAATCTGATGATGCATAAAAGCTTTATTAATGATCAATACAACACTTCGACGTTTTCCTGTAAATATTAAATGATTTTGTGCTTTCGAGACTTCCCAACCAAGATACGGAATTAAGGTACTCTGAAGACATTAAGCAAAACAATACGCCTAGATTATGCAAGAGATCCAAACCTACTGTATGAAGACACCTAAAAAGAGGAGGGATTGATAATTGCCATACCTCCTTTGAAATGTTGCATCCAAAAGGAAGATGATTAAGGGTTTCAGGTTCTTGTCCACAAAATTGACAAGTGTCATCAACATGTATGTTGCCCTTACAAAGCTGAAAAGCCACATGTAAGCTGTTAAGAATAACACGCCACCAAAAGCATTTGATTTTCGGTGGGATATTCAACTGCCAAAGAGTTTTAAACCAAGGCATAGTGACATTATGATGTGCTAAGGACGAAGATTGCTCTCTATGAAGATTACGTAAAACAGAGTATCCAGTTTTAATAGTATACCAACCATGATTTGAATGTATCCAAAAGAGAGAATCTCTTACTCTGGTATGGGAGGGTCTGATCTTCAGAACAGTTTGCACATCAAATGATTCAAACAGGCTAGAAAGCAATTCCTCATTCCATGTCAACGTACCTGAAAAGAAGAGATCTGATACTTTGAACTTAGGATAATAACCTGGGTGAATAGGGATCGGTGGTCTAGGTAATTGTAATGGCAACCAGGGATCCGACCAAACATTTATATCCTCACCAGTACCTACTCGCCATGAAAGGCCTTTTTTTAGTAAGTTTTACACATCATGAATACTCCTCCAAGCATAACTAGATTGACGATGAGGGGTTGCTTGAAGATAAGTGGACTTAGGATATTTAGCTTGATAGACTCTCGCTACTAAGGATGTGGGATGCTTTAGGAAACGCCAACCTTGTTTCGCTAATAAAGCTATGTTAAAATCGTGTAAATCACGAAATCCTAGACCTCTATTGGTTTTAGTCTCAACTAACTTGTTCCATGAGACCCATGATATTTTCCTACGGTCAGGATTGTTGGACCACCAAAATATTCTAATATCAACCATGATTTGATTAAGCACTTTGTGTGGTAAAAGAAAACAGCTCATGGTATAAGTGAGAATTGCAGTGATAACCGATTTAATCAACACTTCTTTGCCAGCAGGTGACAAAAGCTTGGAATACCAAGAAGCTAGTTTATGGTGGATACGCTGCTTTAAGTAGGAAAATTTGTCAGCTCGACTTCTACCTATAGACTCAGGTACTCCTAAGTATTTACTAAGCCCTCCAATTTGTGAAATTTGAAAGAAATTGGAGAGATTAGTAATAGTAGTAGACGAAGTACCTTTGATAAATAGAATAGATGAATTTTGATAGTCGATATATTGTCTAGAGGCTTGCCCATACAGAGACAATACGCGCTGTAATGTAATGGCATCCTGAACAGTTGCACCAAAGAAAATTAAAGAGCCATCTGCAAAAAGAAGATGGGTGATTAGTGGACCTCCTCGTGAAGCTCTATAACCAAGAAATTCTTTCCTCTGTGCCAAACATTTGAGCAGAGCAGAGAGAGCTTCTGTACAGATTAGATATAAATACGGGGAAAGTGGGTTGTCTTGGCGTATACCATGTTAAGGATAGATCCAACTTGGGGGATCCCCATTAACAAGCACTGAATATGAAACAGAGGTGAGGCATTTCATAATCCATTTCTGCCATTGCATAGTGAAACCCATTCTATCCATAACTGCATCCAAAAAAACCCATTCGACTTTATCAAAAGATGACGTTTTAGCTTTTTAGTGCGCAATGAATGAAGAAGTTCATGAGCTATAAGAATATTATCTGTAACTAGCCGCCCTGGAGTAAACGCTGTTTGATTCTCAGAGATAATATCTGTCAAGCATGGTTTAAGCCTATTAACAAGAACTTTAGAAAGAATCTTGTAAGCAACATTAGACAACTAATAGGCCTATAATCTTTCAAAGAAGTAGGGGATTCCTTTTTAGGGATAAGGAAAATATAAGTATGGTTGAGCTTAGGATCTAAAGAACCTTCTTGAAAGAAGTTTTGGACAAATTTATAAACACTATCAGCAATGGTGTCCCAATGATTTCGGTAAAAGCCAGCAGTCATACCATCAGGGCCTGGAGATTGTTCAATGGGAATACTAAAAACAGCATGCTTAACCTCATCTATAGTAACCAGAGCAAGAAGCTTTTGATTCATATCAGGAGTAACAACGTGAGAAATACCTGCTAAAAGCTCTGGATCAAACGTTGGGTGCTGCGTAGCATATAATTGATGGAAGTAGTCTTGGACTTGACACTTAATATCATTCGGCTCAGTGTATACTCGACCTCCTTCATCTTTTAAGACAACAAGTTTGTTAAGGTAGCGTCGCTGTTTAGTGATAGCATGAAAGTATTTAGTGTTACGATCGCCTGCCTTAAGCCAATGCATTCTACTTTTTGCTTTCCAATATTCTTCTTCTAATCTGTAAGCAACAATTAGTTTCTGCTTCAAAAAACATATGTGTTGATAATCTAAAGGAGAAAAATTATACGCTTAATGAAGAGACTCTTTCAAGTGGCGTATTTGGATGCTGGAATTGAAATGATTAGTCAGTTTCCATCGAGCTAAGGCATCTCTATATTAAATAATGGCTTGGCGAAAACAAGATGGTGGAAGATGGTGGAAGATGCTGACAGCGCTCCTCTCATGCAAGTGAGATTACATCTTTAACTTGTGAATTAGACAGCCATCAATTGTCATATTTGAAAAATTTCTTTACTTTCTAAACTTTCGAATCAGTATAAATCATTACAGGAAGATGATCAGCCCCGACCATTGTAGTAATTGAACATAAACAGTTGAAAACATGTCTGTCCATAACGTGTTAGCCAAAGCTCGATCAATCTTCGTCCTAACTATGTGTGTATGCCGGGAGCCAACCCAGGTATAGCAACCTCCAATGGTACGTAGATCATGTTGGGCTTATAATTTCCTTGTTTGATCTTTGATTCCATAGATTTATCTTTATGCCGTATTTCATTCTCTATTTTCAATATAATAACAATATCCATGTTTGGAGGCTGAATGAGCTGGCGCTCAAAATGGATATTGCCTCGAGATGTACACCACTACACTTTTCTCTTTTAAGTATTTTTCTTCCAAAAGTATTTGTATATTTTCAGAAGATAATTAAATATAAATAAATAAAATAAGAAGTTGACAAAAGGAGTCGAATATCCACTTTGGATCCCCTGGTTGATGATAAATAAAAATCGAAGTGTATCAGTTCTAGACAAGCTATTAAATTCCAGGAACGGAATTTCGAAAAGCACGTTCTTCGTCTCGGATTCAGAAAACGGAGTTCAAGATCTCATGCGTATTTGCTTCACAATCTTCTTAATTGGTGTTCTTGTTAAGTTATGTGATGGAGGAATTACCAGTGGATATATTAGAGGAAGTGATTTACCCGATGATATGCCATTAGACAGCGATGTCTTTACAGTTCCTCCTGGTTCAAATACTCCCCAACAGGTATTTAGAAAGTTGTTACCGTCCAATATTGTTACAAAATCTGTCTGGTCTCATAACTTTCTTCTCCTTGTAATAATAAAGGTTCATGTAACGCAAGGGAACCATGAAGGTAATGGAGTTATCATTTCATGGGTGACTCCCGTTAAGCCCGGTTCTAAAAGCGTTCGCTATTGGTATGAGAATGATAAATCGAAGAGGCAAGCAGAAGGAACCATTAACACCTACCGGTTCTTCAATTACACATCTGGTTACATCCATCACTGCGTCATTGATGATTTGGAAGTAAGCCTTTTTAACAACTTTTTTATTGGATTCAGTTACAGGTCTTTATACAACTGTTGCTGTAAGGCTTCTTTTTTTTTGTGATGTACTCTTTTGTACTTGATACAAAAATAGATCACAAAAGCATAATATAAAATTTAAATATTACTTTTTTGGTTTTTCTTTTTTTATTGGTGTTGCAGTTTGATATGAAATACTACTATGAAATTGGGAGTGGGAAGTGGTGTAGACGGTTCTGGTTCTTCACTCCACCTAAACCAGGAATTGATGTACCTTACACCTTCGGGTTAATTGGTATTAACATTTGTCTTTATTCATATATTTATGGGTCAACAAGTGGAGTGACACTTTAACCTTAGATATTTGGTTTCATTCTAATGTGGGATTCCTAATACGTTCCAGGGGATCTTGGACAAACTTATGATTCAAATAGAACTTTAAGCCACTATGAGATGAATCCGGGAAAAGGACAGGCTGTTTTGTTCCTCGGAGACTTGTCTTACGCAGATCGCTACCCTTTCCATGATAACAACAGATGGGATACTTGGGGAAGGTTCGTTGAGAGAAACGCTGCTTATCAACCTTGGATATGGACTGCAGGAAACCACGAAATAGACTATGTTTCTGACATTGTAAGACTTGAAATGAATACTCTTGGTTTCTAGAAATGGAACTTGAAATATTGGTTATGTCAACTTAAAGGTTTTTATTTTTTTTTATTTTTTTTTTGCAGGGTGAAACAGAACCGTTTAAGCCTTATACAAATCGGTATCATACGCCATATAAGGCATCGGGAAGTATCTCTCCATTGTGGTATTCCATCAAGAGGGCTTCAGCTTATATTATTGTTTTGTCATGTTACTCATCATATGGTAAAGATTAGAGAGACAAAAATGCTTTAAGAATAAATAACAATTTAGTGGTATTTTTGCTTAATTTTGTATTTGATGGATTAGGGACATACACTCCTCAATACAAATGGCTGGAAAAGGAGTTTCAAAGAGTGAATCGAACAGAGACGCCATGGCTTATAGTCTTAGTACATTGCCCGTTATACCATAGCTATGTGCATCATTACATGGAAGGTGAAACATTGAGAGTCATGTACGAGAAGTGGTTTGTCCAATTTAAAGTTGATGTTGTGTTTGCAGGTCATGTTCATGCCTATGAGAGATCGGTAAATTTTACTGTAGTTCTCCCTAGTTTCATATAAACCACACTTCCCTTCCTCTCCCCTGCCTCAAGTGGTCCTAATGTAATAACGCAGGAACGTGTTTCTAACATTGCTTACAACATTGTCAATGGATTGTGTGAGCCAAAATCGGATGAGTCGGCTCCTGTATACATAACCATCGGGGATGGAGGAAACTCAGAAGGCTTGCTTACTGAGTAAGTTTAATGTATTTGTCAAAATCTTTCTTTGAATTATTATATGACTTGGGGTTTTCTTTATTTGTAGCATGATGCAGCCACAACCAAGCTACTCAGCTTTTCGAGAACCTAGCTTTGGGCACGGGTTGTTGGAGATCAAAACAGAACTCATGCCTACTTCAGCTGGAATCGGAACCAAGATGGGTATTCTGTGGAAGCAGATTCTGTGTGGTTGCATAATCGGTTTTGGCGAGCTCCAAAGGTGACGCCACTTGTTACATTATAAACAGAAATTGATCTATGATAAACGATGTATCCAAAAGGTGAAAGTTATCAAGTATATTGATATTTTCGCTATTGAGGTAGCTTTTCAATATCCCGTACAAATATATGATTTTTGAAAGGCAGATGATGCAATCTGCAAAATATGATATGAAAAAATGAGATTTAAAATATATTTATTTGATGATTATATGAGTTATAGATTTTAAATGTGTTATAAGAATCAAAATAATTTTATAAACACACGAGTGTATATTAAAGATATAATATATTACTGAATTTATATAAAACTTATGTTTTTATGTTGTAGTAGATTTTTTGCAGGTTTGAATGTTTAGTTATAATTTTTTAACCACACTATTGTTTTTATTTAGAAATATTAATCTCTTATGATAAAAGCATATTTAGTTTTTAGTAAAAATATAATTTATCTATTAATCTCTGTATTTCTAATAAATCTTTTATTTAGTAAATGCACAAATTATTCTCTTTTTTTCATCATTTGTCTTTTTTTTTTTTTACTTCTTCTTCTTCGTATCATTTCTTCTTTTCCTTCTTATCTGTCCATTGTTGTTCTTATTTTTCTCTTTCTTCAACTTCTTTTCTTTCTTCTTTATAATCACTTCTTCTTCTCCTTCATTTCTGTGTGAGGCGGAAATCACAAAATAAAGTTTATAGTTCAGAAAAAATAAGAGGGACTTGAAGATTCTAAGATAAACACGAGAGCACAGATCCAAAGATGGTGTTTTTGTTATTGCTATTTTGTTAAGCTTTTGATCAAGTGTTTTTCTAGGTTTTTCAGCCGTCCTTTTTACAATAGATCATGTCTCCTAATTATACATATCTCTCTACAACCTAAGCGGGAATCTCGGTGAAAATAGTCATAGATTTCCTTCTATTTCTCTTTTACTGAGCCCCTTCTGCAAGGCTAAGTCTTTCTAGGGCAAATCCTGCTTTTAGATGTCTTCTTGGGCTTACGACTCAGTTCGTATGTGTATTGCTTCATATCAAGCCTAGGCCCATCAGAGAAATGGCTCGGTTTCCACTTGGTTAATTTCGTTGGTTAGGTTTTACTGGCCGATTCGCCCCGTCTCTCCGGTTCAACACATCTCTCTAGTTTGACAACTAAATGGTTCAGCACATCTTTGCCGACCTCGACTCATCGGTTTGATCTATCTTGTTGGTTCGGTCCACCTATCTGGTTCGGCGGATATGAATGGTTTGATACATTCTTTACTGACCCGACTCATTGTGTCTGCTCGGCGGTTCGCCGGTTTGGCTCGGTGGTTTTCCAGTTCGGCTTGTTAGTCTGACTTATCACCTTTCTAGTTTGGCTAGGCTCATTTCCAAACTTAGCATTTTCTTTGTTGATCTTGTCATGGTGGAAACCGACCCCAACAATTCTTTCTTCTCCTTCTGTTTCTCCTCCTTCTTCTTCTTAATCCCTTCTTCTTCATCTTTTCTTCTTCTCTCGTTTCATTTATTTTTGTTCTTCTCCTTCTCCTTTTTATCCTTCGTTTTTCTTATTCTCCTTTCTTCTTCTCCGTTTTTCTCCTTCTTCCTTTTTTGGATTACCATGAGGTTATGCGCCGAAGCCTGCAATCTATGCATGCCTGAAACCACATCATGTAATATTAGTTTTATCCCAAGCGTCACTCGATCATGTGATCTCTAAGCTTTGCCTAGATCCTTTACCAGTCGAGCTAACGACTCTTCGTTACTCCTTCGTCTTCTCCTCCATCCCTTCTTCTTCTTCATCCCTTCTTCTCATTCTTCTCCTTCTCCTTTGTTATTCTTCCTCTCCTTCTTCTTCTCCTTCTTCTATGTTATTCATATTCTTCTTCATCACTTCTTTGATAAGTCACGATGACCTACCAAACGAGTTATGTGGAATATTCAGACTAGAGTTTAGAAAAGGAAGAAAGAAATAAGGAAAGGAGATTGAATAATGTATTTGACCTTCATAAAATAAAGAACCCTAATCGGGATCACTGTTCTTAAATACAACTCGATGCAGCAGTAATACGACTGTGTATTAACAATTATTCAACTTAAGACCCTCTAATAGAATAAGAGTCTTCACTTCAAACTTCACTCCTTCTTTAGCCACTTTTGTCGTTGACCATCTTCTCCCAAGCTCGAGCTTTCCTTCCCTTAGTGCGAGTCTTCTTCTTCATGAAAGCCAGAGGCACCTTCAGCCTATCAATACTCCCCCCAAGAGAAGTAACCTTGTCCTCAAGGTTGATAGAAGGAAACTGACCTGCCAAATCAGAAAGGGATTCCCAAATACATTCAAATTAAGGTAATCCTCTCCATTTGACCAATACCTCTGTCGCATTGCCGGCAGCAGATCTACGGGCATCCAAGAACTTCTCCGGTTCTGTGTTCCATTCCACATCGGGGCTTAAGATCACCGGATTGTCTTGAGCTAGTTGAGATGCAGTGATTGCCTTCTTCAGCTGTGAAACGTGGAACACAGGGTGAATGCTGCTGTGACTCGGTAACTCTATCTTGTATGCCACTCTGCCGATCCTTTCCTTCACCGTGTAGGGTCCAAAGTATCGAGGAGCCAGTTTCTCATTTCTGCGATGAGCTACGGAAATCCTTCTATGAAATCCATACTGATATTCGACCACACTTGTTGCGGAATGGGAAGCGGGGATAGCAGTCCTGCAGGGGATAGCGTTGAGTAATTATTCTCCTGACAAGTTTGGCATTGGCGAACAAACTCCACCACATCCTTACGCATGCCTCTCCAAGTAACTTCCTGTGTCAACTGTTTAAACGTTTTCAATGCTCCTTTATGACCCCCTGTTTCACTCGCGTAGAACTGTACAATAGCTGCAGAATCAAAGAGGATCCGACGGGTATCACTAGACAACCATGCTTGTACAATAACCCTTCCTTGGCGCTAAACTCTGAGTGGATCTTCTCCCCCTTTTGAACACTCCTCAATATCTCTCCCAACTCGGGGTCACTCTGTGTCTGCTCAACTATTGTTGCTCTGTCTATGTTCAGTGTAGCTATCAGAGTAATCTGTTGCAGCTCCTCGGTCGTTGGTTTCCTTGAAGAGCATCTGCCACATGATTCTCCACCCCCGGCTTATACTCAATTCTGTAATTGAGTCCAATCAGCTTCGCAGCCCATCGTTGTTGCACTGAGGTCACAGCCTTCTGATCTAGCAAATGTTTTAAGCTTCGCTGATCAGTCTTGATAATGAACTCCTTGTCCGTAAGATAGTGTTTCCACTTAGTCACCGCCTTCACAATCGCAAGCAGTTCACGCTCTTAAACTGATTTAACTCTCCCTTGTGTCAAGAAAGCTTGACTGAGGAAGTCCACTGGTCTCTTTCTTTGAGATAAAACCGCCCCTATGCCGGCTCCCGAAGCATCCGCTTCTATGGTGAATGTTTGTGAGAAATCAGGCAACACCAAAACAGGAAGAGTAGTCACAACTGTCTTGAGTTGATTAAACGTCATCTCTGCTGACGATGACCACTTAAACCCCTCCTTCTTCAACAGTTCCGTCAGGGGGCGAGCTATGATGCCGCAATTCTTAACGAACCGCCTGTAGTAGCTCGTCATTCCCAGAAACCCACGCAGCTCCGTCACTGTCTTAGGGGAAGGCCAGTTCAGCATCACATCAATCTTCTCCGGATCCGCTGCCAAAACAGGAAGAGTAGTCACAACTGTCTTGAGTTGATTAAACGCCATCTCTGCTGCCGAGGACCACTTAAACACCTCCTTCTTCAACAGTTCCGTTAGAGGGCGAGCTATGATGCCGTAATTCTTAACGAACTGCCTGTAGTAGCTCGCCATTCCCAGAAACCCAAGCAGCTCCGTCACTGTCATAGGGGAAGGCCAGTTCAGCATCGCATCAATCTTCTCCGGATCTGCTGCCACTCCTTCACCGGATATACGATGCCCCAGATATGCCACTTCAGTGTTGCCAAAGAAACACTTCTTGGCATTAGCATATAAACTGTGTTGATGCATTAGCTTCAACACAATCTCTTAATGCTTCAGGTGTGTGGTCAAGTCGACGCTATACACCAGGATGTCATCAAAAAACACCAACACGAACCTCCAGAGATAAGGTCTAAACAGATCGTTCATGACGCTTTGAAATGATGACGGAGCGTTGGTGAGGCTGAATGGCATCACCAAAAACTTATAATGTCCTTGATGGGTCTTGAAGGCAGTCTTCTCCACGTCGCTGCTCTTCATTCGGATCTGATGATACCCCGACTTCAAATCCAATTTCGAGAATACTGTTGCACCCTTAAGCTCATCCAACAGCTCTTCAATGATAGGAATATGGTATCTATCGGGAATGGTGGCCTTGTTGAGTGCTCGGTAATCAACGCGGAACCTCCATCCTCCATCTTTCTTCTTCACCAGCAACAGTGGGCTTGAATAAGGACTGACGATAGGCCTGATAATCATGGCATCTAGCATTTCCTGCATTAGCTTCTCTATCTCGTTCTTCTGTATGAATGAATAACGATAGAGACGTATGTTGATTGGCCCCATCCCCTCTTGAAGTGTTATCGCATGCTCTCTGTTACGAGCTGAGGGCAGCCCTCTCGGCATGTTGAAGACCTCTAAATACTTTTCTATAACGTCCTGCAGCTCTTGCGGGTGTTTCTTCTCTTTTGGTTCCTCGTTGCTAGAAAATAACGAAGTGAGCTCCAACAAATAAGCTTCGCCATTCTTCTTAAGAACCTTTTTCATCGACTGCAGAGAAATTTGTTCACGGCTGAGTTGAGAATCTTCCACTATTGTCACCCACAATCCACCAATCTTCCAACTTATAGTGCTGCGTAGCCAGTTGATTCTAGTGTCACCTAGAGAAGCTAACCAAACATACCCCAGTACCACGTCGGTGGTTCCTAAATAAAAACAGAGGAACTCTTCCATAATTTGCACTCCTTGGATGTCGAGAGATAGTCCCAAGCATCGGCCTATGCCGTTGATGATTTGTCCATGTCCCACACGAACTCCAAACCCTCTTGAATCCGATCGTGTAAGTCCCAACTCACGCACCAAAGGTTCAGAGATGAAGTTACTTGTGGCACAAGAGTCTATGAGGACTATCACTTCCCTCTCATTGATTTTGCCCCTCATCCTCATGGAGTTGACAGCAGTTAATCCAGCCATCGAGTGTAACGACAGAGTGACTAACTCCTACGGCTCCTCTTCTTGTTCCCCTTGTTCCTGCTCTACAGGGGT